CCCCTTCTAAAGTATCTTTTTTTGTCACCAGTTGTTCCAGGAATACATTGTGCTTTTGCCGTCCACAGCTGGGATGTGAAGAATGAATTAAAGGTTAGCAATGAAGGTTAGCAATTGATCCATAAGCAGACCAGCCTTTGAGTGATCAGTCCTTTCTGTAGTGTAGATGCAGGTGGCAACTCAATTCTTGACCCAATGCACATTTTTCTAGCAACCTAATCCATGAACTGGTTAATCTGCAATTCTTGACTTTCAGCCAGTTTAGTGTTGTAATGCTGAATGGTAGATTGATCAGGCTTTCCTCTCTTCTATCTTTAAAAAAAAATGTAGAGTTAAGTTTTTTCACTCATCAAGATATGTTCATTTGCTCAAGCATCTTAAGACTGAATAGGCTGGTTCACACATTGCCTTTCACATTTATTGCATTTTGCCACATGGTGCTTGCATCCATTCAATCTCATCTTGCATAATGTAACAATGAGTCATAAAGAGGTTATGTGTGCCTGCTCATACATACTTAGGTTTGTTAGCCAGTAAAGGTTTTGTTGCTCTTCCTCATCACACTAGGATGCTTGAACTAAAGGGGGTGGGGGAGGTTAGAGTAGGATAAATGTTGGTTGAAGCCACCCTGAAGTGCAGACAATTTCCGTCTGAAATTCTAATGTGGGTTTACTGATTTGCTGGCTAGCTAGTAGAGGGGCTATGTGTTGCATTTATAAAGAAAACATGACAAATGTGTAATATACCTTCAGTGCTCTTTGTTCCCAAGGAAAGCAAAACCTAGGCACTTCCATTGAGCAGGGAACCATGCAACACTGTTTTGCATCTTATATTCCAGGGGTGAAGGGGAGCAGGGGCTTTTCTTATGAGGACAGCACTCTCAGGTTCCTGTTGATCTAAGCAATCCCTCATGGCATCTACTGATGCTTCCAAATGTGAAGCTTGTTTGCAAAACTGAACTAAGTGGCAGCAAAGTCAACAACTGCAATTCTTGTTAATGTTGAATCTATCCTTGGATAGAACACGTGATTTCATTCATTACATAGACCCTGTTTCACCACAAGGGGGACATTTCCTTTGGGGCATCCATCATTGGGCCACATGCCACTGATGGAAGGTGCCAGAGGCAAGAATGGGTAGATCAATAAATGTAAATTTTATCTTTGTGTAGGTTCATTTCTAGACACACATACCTGTGTCCTTCATCTAAGATCCATTATCAGAGTTCAAGGCATTCCAGTCAGGCAAAAGCACTCAGAGGGCCAGTGAGAGGTATGGCCTGAGGAGAGTTCCAAGGGCTACATAGGAAGGAGTGGAGGGTCCTGACACAAAAGAACAGGAGCCAACTTCTCTCTGTAACTTGTTTCTCCGGTTTTCAACTTTTCTCTGTGTACAATAAATGTGCACAGCCATTTTCATTTATTATTTCTTTATTTTGCTTCCCTCCAGAAGCACTGTTTCCAAATATACAATAAGCTTCCAGTACATGGAGGTGATTACCACATCCACATTCTTAATCATGTGCTTGCCAGCATCAGCACAAATCACTTTCTTATTGTTGGGGAATTCTTTCCTTGCTGAAGAATTCAGAGTCTCAAAGTACAGCAGCAAAGCTTAGTGGCTGAGGCCTATAATGAATAGGAGTCGGGGATCATATTTCCCTTTTCTGAATTCTGTAAGATAATCTGAAGCTAAGGCTATTGCCAGTTCCCTTCTCACACATTTGTCATGAAAATCTGCTTCTTGAGCTGATGTTGGGGGTAGACTTTTTTCCATAGCTCGGCAAAGTTTTTTCTGAGTCTGATTTAAGCAGCAAAAAATCCTCATTATCCAATAGCAGATATAAATACAAAATACATATACACATGCATGCAGCAGCTTTTGCCAGTGACCTTAAATAGCACATACATTACACTATGTCTATAAAAGTACATTGGCACACATATTTTAGTGCTGGGTGAAAATTGCCTCCATTCTGCGTGGCAAAATAACAGGGATACTGGATTTCCTCTGCAGGGGAACAGAAATTCTCCAGTGTTTCGGGATGGCTGAAAAAGAAATTCTCTTCTGATAAATTTTGGTGTAGTTAATATTGAATGAAATTATATTCATGTGGAATACAGGAAGTAGTGGACTAACAGAGGATGATCAGAAGGCTTAGGGGCCAAGCCTCACTGCTTCCTTCAATCACTTTTAAACAATAACAACCAATAATTAAATCTAGAATCACAGCTGCAATACTTTATTCATTGCAGAGACGTTGGAGGGCACTTCAACAAATATTCTCCGGTTTGTCCCAATGAAATTCTCCAACAGTTTGGAGGGGGGAAAAAAATAAAAAGACACACACACACCCAAAATACTTTTTTGAGAAATTTCAGCCCAACCCAATTTTTTTTGGGTAACACAATATACTTAGGATTCTCAGGGGAAGCACATGTTATACAGAAGATACAGTAAATTTATTCTTTGTTGCTGATGGATCATATGTTACATGTGTTACATGTATGAACCACATATGTGTCCAGCATGGATATAACCCCAACATGTACCTTCTATGAGAAGAATGAAAACTGGAACATAGAGACTGATGGATAGTTAAAAGATTTTCAAATATTTAATCTTTTACCCAATAAATAACTTTTTACTCTAAGAAACTCTCAAAAATGTGTGTTGTTACAAAGAAAAGACGGAGAGTACATGGCTTTATGTATGGGCAATCTATCTGGAGATATTTGTATTCTGAGCAGTTAGTGATCTGACATGTTTATCCTTCCTGCCCCCTGTTCCTTCTTTTTCCCTATCTCTCGTTCAGCTCTTTGATGGCTGAGAACAGCCTTTAATGCCCTAATCTGCGGAAGGAAATGATTGCGCTGGGTACCTTCTCCTTCTTTGATGTTAGACATTTTTTGGAGAATGTGAGGCATTGGGAGAGGTGGCTAATGAATAATCTGCACGTAGTCAGTCGAGCAAGCCATGCAGGCTAACAGGCTAGCTATCTATAAATCAGATGGTGTTGGGCAGAGTCTGAGAAGCTCATGCATGGACTGATGGCCACGAGGCTGTGCAAACTGAGGCTACCTGGGGAAGTCACTTCGCCACTTCTTGAGGGCTTCCAGATTGAGGTGCTTGCTTGGTATGTATATATCACTTGCTGTTTACAATAAAATCTTTAACCTTCTCACTCACTTGTGTTTTGTATTACTTCTGAATCTCATTTAAAAGAACCACCTTGCATTTGTCAAGACACTTTAACAGTAGGTTTTGTTGTTGTTTAGTCGTTTCGTCATGTCCGACTCTTCGTGACCCCATGGACCAGAGCACGCCAAGCACTCCTGTCTTCCACTGCCTCCTGCAGTTTGGTCAAACTCATGCTGGTAGCTTTGAGAACACTATCCAACCATCTCGTCCTCTGTCGTCCCCTTCTCCTTGTGCCCTCCATCTTTCCCAACATCAGGGTCTTTTCCAGGGAGTCTTCTCTTCTCATGAGGTGGCCAAAGTATTGGAGCCTCAGCTTCACGATCTGTCCTTCCAGTGAGCACTTAGGGCTGATTTCCTTAAGAATGGATAGGTTTGATCTTCTTGCAGTCCATGGGACTCTCAAGAGTCTCCTCCAGCACCATACAAAGTGATAATATGCAGGCAGCACCCAGTCATAATACACTGACACACTCTTAGCCCTAAAGAATAAAGATATCCTAAATTCCCTTAAGGTATGCAAAAGGAAGTGGGTGTAAGCAGCAGTACAGACCAACAGGAAATAATGACAGGAGCAAAGCTTGTACTTTTCCAAAAGACAGCCAAGATGCATGGTCAGGATCAAGATTCTAATCACTGCTTAAGGGTTAAGCTGAGCTCTTCTTTTCCCACTATAGCCTTGCATTTTAGTCAGGTCAAGAACACCCTTACCCACTCGGGTCAGAGCTTCATAGCATTGTCAATTTGGAAGTGTGGGGTGGAATAGTGCATTGCCAATTTGCCATTGAAAGTGCTATCACTTAAATTCTTTTGGTTGTGTGTCCTGTATGTCTTGGTGTTCTTTGTGCACATCCTGCAACTCCTGTACATTTGGTTGGGTGTGCGTGTACAAGACTGTGGGGAGCCAAACCCATTTTTGATGCACCAGCATCAAAGAAGCCCCCTAAGGGTGGCCAAGAATAGATGTGGTCCTTGGGCAAAAAAAGTGGGAGTTAGCTATTCCTATGAAAAGCATAGCCTCTCATCACTTAAGAAAAAGGAATAATAAAAGATACGATCTTATCATTTTGCATAAAGAAGTGAAAAGGGCAGCATTCAGGTGGCGATAGAAAAATAACAAATTTTGATTAACTTTTCTATGCCCTTAATCCAAACCATTCCACATTTTGTTATTCACATTCAGAATGCTTTCGACTTGCATTTCTCGCAAAGCAGCTTCAAGTACCACATGGCAAACTACTTTTAAAACACATGGAACTTCCAAATGTTACATGCTTTTCCAAGAAATATAAATAAATGAGCCACAATGAGCCTAAAGTACATTTTTGGATTGTGACATCCACCTAATAAATATCTCTTTCCATCTATCTGTATTGTAAAGTGGTTCAAATGTGCTGTTGAATTTTCATTAAGAATGAGTTTTTAATGAAAATAGACTTTTGCAGAGTGCAGTTAGCACCAGATTTATATAATCTGGCTGGCCCATCGTGATTGTAATGGTTCTTTACCTATGTGCTGCTTTCTCAAAGCATGCAAATCTCCCTAAGTTTTCATTTTTATCTCCTATTGAATTCAGTAATATATCCATTGTATCAATGGCATCTTAAATCTATGTAGCATATGCTTAATCAGCAATGTGACCAAGAAAGATTATGGATGTCATTCCTGCAAGGAAAAGCAATATTTCAAGCATAATATATGTGTTGTCAGAGACTTGCAATGGTGATTTAGTTTGTACACACGACTTTATTCAAAATGTAGGAGGCGCCTACAAAGAATATATGAAAAAGCACACTCAAGGGTTGGAATATTGTTTTATTTTTATTTTTTATTTGTACAGCATAGTCTCCTGACAAATACTAGTCTAGTGCAGTTAAGGAGTGGTTGAGCATTAAGTGAATGTACAGATGATCACATGTGACTATACCAAAGAAATCCATTGGAACATCAGATAATCAAATAGGAGCATAAAACCACCTTTATAGTAGCAACTAGAACATAGAGTCATGCAGATTTTCCAGTTACATTCTGTTATAGTTGCATGGGTTTGATGTTCATATTTTGCTTCACTCATCTTCCAGTTCAACTTGCATATTTTCTAAAATTTTACAGTTGGCACAAACTTTGCAGTTGATGGCTCCCTCCACTTGCATCTCTTTATTCACCTTCTGGCATCTCCACTACCTGCAGCTGGACAAAGCCCAGTGACGAGGGAAAAGAAAGATGTTAGAAACCATGGCAAGCTGTGCATGTGTAATCTCAGCAAAGCCTTAGGATCAAGATCCAATGAATGACAGGTTACTAGCTCAGTGATGCTACTCCAGAAGCAGGATCAAGTTATTCCGAGCCCCAAACTTGGGTAAAAAATTAATCCCATTCATGCAAGGGTGGATTTAGAGCCGTTGGAATGGTGCGCATACATTGGATGCTGAGCCAAGGGGGCGCGTCTCAAAGTCTGGTAAGCAAGGTGCTGGGCTTTGGGGAGGAGGCATGAGGCTCTAACAGGCAGGGCTGTCTTAAGCATATGTGGTGCTGGGGTGCAAAGATCCGCTCGGTGGCCCCCCCCAGGTTGCCCAGTTCCAGGTGTGCAGGAGAGCAGAGCCAACTGGTCGCCTCAGCGTCTCGCTGGCTCAGTCGCCCCCGAACTTGCACAGCAGAAGAGCCCACCACAGCGCTCCGACCGATGGGCAGGCTCTTCCCTGGACTCAACTCTCGGGCCGTGGAATCTCGGCCTGGTGCCCGGGTGCCCTACTACACCCCTAGCACCTATGGGTAAGACGGCCCTGCTAACAGGGTCCTATAGTCTTCCATCCTCCTTTCCTTACCCTAGTTTGTACTTTCCCAGCTTTGGGAAGGAGGTGGGAGAGTGCTAGGACCCTACCAAAGCCCTAACACCTCATTTCCAAAGCTGGGTACCTTCTTACCTGTCTTTGGGAAGGCAGTGTGAGGATGGGGGGGGGAGGTTTGTCTCCAAACTTTGGCCTTGCACAGGGCACCATAGTACCCTCGTCCACCACTGTATTCAGGCATTCCCCCTCATGCAGTTAGGATCATATGAGCAGGGAGAATGGGCTATGCTACCTTTCTCTTCTGCTCTGTCATTGTTAGGGCACGTCTGAAGACTTTCAGAATGGAACAAATGTTAGTGCTTCTAGTCTTTGGGTTGTGAGATAACATGCTATAATACAGAGGAGAGACAAAAACAGAGTCATGGTTTGTAAATCAATTAAGAGGGGGGGAGTCACATTCATTTGGAGGCATAAAATTGATCATTTTCTGGTGCTTATTTCTGTTTGTAAACTTCATATTTTCTTTCAGCTTGCTCAATATTGCTTTTGGTCCATTCTGTTATGTCAGTAGTTTTGCTGATTCTTGTCTCTTCCTATAAAATTACAGCATTCGAGACAGAAGATGTGATGAAAGAGGCTTAGGCTTAAGAATCAAGCTTCTGGAATGGAAGAGAAAAGAATAGTGATGCTGAACATTAATAACACATTCTGAAATGAAATCTCTGCACAATAGGAAGAGTGTCAATCCAATAGACAATTCAGAGGGAAGAGCTGTAGCTCAGTGGTAGAGAACATGTTTTGCATGTGAAAGTTTTCATATCTATCCCTGACATCCTGGGACCATGCAGGACCTCTACTAGCTGTACTGAGATAGGAGGACCAATGGTCTGACTCAGCATAAGGCAGCTTTCTGTATTCCAAAGATAGTTGGTTAATAAAGAAAGGACCAACAAATGGTATTCTGGCAACCAAAAGTCCTGATCTACTGCTTATCATTAAGAAAGCCTCTTTCACCTTTTTTCACCAGCTGTATGGCGTTGGATCCAAAGATGCCTTGCCGAAAAGAAAGGCACTTCTGCTCAGGTAAGTTAGCTCTTCTAAATTCTGCAGCACCTTTCAAAAAATGAAATGGAAGCCTTGCCAAAGGTCAACAGAGTAGCTGGAATACTTATTAGCAGCAAGAAAACAAAAACGTGTTGTGGTGTGTTTATTGGCTTACCAATTTGTAGCCCAATGTCTAGTACAGGTGTATAACCATAGGACTCAACTTCTACGGGCTGAGGTCCCTTTGACCCACCCAATAAACTTTTTGAGGGACCACAAAAGTTCTCAAATGGTGCGTGTAGACTGTAGAGACACTCCTGCTTATAACAATTTGTGACAAACCAGGTGCAGTGGTCTGCCAGGACATCCTATTTTGTACCTCTCTTAAGGCAGCAAAAATAGGGATGTTGTCGAGCATCTGGGAAGGTAGTCAGCTGGGTTTAGCTTGGTGAGTCGCAAGCTGTGCACATTTTGGCCACATTCACACCATACGTTAAGGCCACAATGATACTACTCTAAGCAGCCATGGCTTCCCAAAGGAATTCTGGGAGCTGCAGTTTGTTAAAGCTTCTAAGAATTGTCAGGCAGCCCCTAATCCCTTCACAGAGCTACAATTCTCAGAGTGATTTAACAATCAATCCCTCTCCACAGGGAACTGCAGGGATTGTAGCTCTGGGAGTAGTATAGTGGTCTCTAAACAACTTTCACTCCCCTGAACAAACTACAGCTCCCAGAATTCTTTGAAGCCATGCCTGTTTAAAGTGGTATCATAATGTGTTACATGTATGGTGTGAATGTGGCCCAAGTAGTCTACTTTATCAGATGCTTGAAGAAGTCTGAGAAAGTGATAATAAACTGACTAGATATTCCAATGATTTAGGGCACACTAGAAAACAATTTAGTTCTGCAAGATGAAAACCAAATACAAATCACATTTGTACTCAAGCATGCAGAATACAATTCAGCATGGACTTGGAAAGTGTTTGCCTGAGTCTTACCTACCAAATTTCTAGGGTAGTGCTGGGCCTGTCTGTCATGTTGACCACTGGAAGTTTTCCATTGGGAAATGACAAGATGTAATTCATATCAATATAAGAAACCAATGTTTCTCTCCTTTTCCTCCTCCTGTGCTTTCTATTCTCCCTGCCCTTGCACTCTTCTTCCTTAGTGTTTCAGGCAGCTTCGAACTCCATCCCACCACTAGAACCTAAAGCATTCTAGAGCCTGCTCTGCTAGGAAAAGATGGAGATTGGAGACGTGGCCTCATGCTGTTTGTTTGTAATATTTATTACAAGGTAGTTTCAAAGTATTCAGAAATAGCACTCATTTACACATATATTTTCTTCAGAACTTGTTACAGTTTTTCTCACAAGTTTTTCCCCTTGTCCTTTTAAGCTTAGTTATATTAGCTTGTAATTATCCATTTTTTAAAAAAAATATATAGTAGTAAGTCTCAACCTGGCAAATGACGTTCTGAACATCTGTCTGAGTCCACCCCTGCCAACACATTTTTTAAAAGAACACAAAGGGATCTTTTAGTTTTAAATTTCATTTTGCAAACTGCCGCTCTTCTTGTGGTACAAGATGCAAAACTAGACCCAGCTAGAGAGCCAGTTTCTCTTTCCATCCCAAGAAACCTACTATTGTTCCGTTTCATCCACTGTTTGAGAACCTTTTCAAGGAATCAATGTTGAATTTAACCCCTTGACTTTAGGTGAAAGTAAATGGATTTCAGTGTGCCTAAATTCTGGTGGATTGTGACCACAACACATAGCCAAACATTTAAATCCTAAGAAATACTGCACTTTTTCAGGGGGAAAACCCAGTTCTTACATGCTAGAATTTCAGAACTCCTTTGGGGTTGGATGTTATTTTTAAACACACTTGATCCTGAGATATAAATTGTTGGAAGTGCATCAGCACAGATCATTCAGTGTGCAATTTTAGAGTTAATGCTGTTATTAGTAAATCAGCTAACCAAGTTGTGGTGTTGCTTAGCAACCAGGCAGAGTCAGTTGTGGAGGAAGGGGGTGTCACCACTGAGAGGGGTGACAAAATGCCAGGTGGCACTCACCGTGGGGCCTGCAGTGACGCGGTGACTTGGGCGCCTGCAGGCTCCGCGCTGCCCCAAATGGTCTGCCTGCCGCCTCCCCCTCCGCTGTGGGGTGGCTGAGTGGGAGGAGGCTGGCAGACTCCTTGGAGGCCCCATGGAGTGTTCTGCCCCAGCTGGCCCTGCCCCATGCATGGCTGGCCCTGCCCCTGGGCACAGGGCATGCGCGCCGCCCCAGGCGTCCAATTGGCTTGCTCCGTCGCTGGGCAGAGTGGAATGAACTTTACTGAGGTGGCATGTGCTCTGATTAACTGTGAAATTTTCCTCTATGTTTGGTTGAATGTCTCCTTGCTAAGAACAAGGTCTCAAGTATGAAAGACATAACCTCTGTGTTTCTTCCTTCTCAAATTATACATTTATTTTTGTTTCTTCAGTTTGCATAGTAAAGTGTTATCAGCATTTCCTTTCTCTCTGTGTTAGTTAAGTGACTTTGCAAACATAAATCACTCCTTCTTCTGAATCTTGCATTTAAATGAAATGACTAATGTGAGCTGTCATGGATCTTGTTCGCTGTGATATACACGAGCTCAAAAAGGGATCTGGAACACATACTTATTCATTTAAATTATTATTATTATCCCAACTTTCAATTTCAAATTTTGAAGGCAGCATGCAATATCACACTGAAGCATCTGTTACAAAAATAAAATATACAAAGCATAAAAACACACACCAAAAAATCAGCAGCAGTAGTAAAAAAGTGGCAATAAATCATATAATCACCAATCATATCCAAAGCCTGGGAAAGTAAAAAAGTTTTTACAGGTGCCTAAAAGCCATCAGGTTTGGTACCAGGTAAACAGATAAGGGGAAGTAGTGTAGTACAGATCTTACTATAGCGAGGGTTTTTTCATATATATCAGTGATTTAAAAACATGAATCTTCCTGATGAAAAATAAGAGCTGAGCCAGAGGCTACAGGGAGCAGTGAGGTCACTTGTAGGCAGCAAATCACAGACAAAGAACTTAACAGAATAAAAAACAAGAACTGGGATTTATTTAACAAGCAGGGGAGAGCAAACAAAAGGGGTAAGTCAAACAGTACGTTGTTTAAATTAAATATTTCAATAAAAATAGAAGGAGATGGAGTCTAATAAAATAGTGATCTGCAGATGAATGATTAGACCTGTTCACCAGATGAGTCACTGGTTGGCTGGGATGCAGCCATAAGCCTCTGTTTTGGTCATAAATGTGGATCTGCTTTTGTTGCTGAACAAATGTTACATGTTCTCTCCTCATCCAGGCCAGCACCATGATGGGGGGCGGGGCTTACTTGGGTGGGCCCCTACCACTATTGGTTCCTGGCAGCTGCCTTGCGTACCATTTGATGGAAGGGCAGGGTGAATTTTAACAAAATAAAAATTCACCATCACTGTGGCCTTCTTCACCTCTTCTTCTAGCAATGTTCAGCTATGCATCTCTGAATTTCCTCCACCAAGACTTCCCAGCTCTCCCAATCTCCACTGGCAGAACTTTTCCAAGATCTTCTCAGTCGGTCACCCGTGGTGGGTCCTACTAGTGCTGTGCTCCAGGCATCCCACAGACAGGGTGACTTCCTTCCTTCCTTCCTTCCTTCCTTCCTTCCTTCCTTCCTTCCTTCCTTCCTTCTTATGTCTATAACCCACCTTTCCTCCAAAGAGCTTGGTATGCATGGCTCTCCTGCTCTTCATTTATTCTCACAAAAGTAGGTTAGGTTGATAGACTATGACTGACCAAGGTTAGCCAGGAAACTTTATAGCTGAATGTGGATTTGAACCCTGGTCTCCCAAGTACTAGTGCAACACTCTAACCAGTACACCATGTTAGCCTTGTATAGCAGTTTGTTTAATGTAGCATGTTCAACTGATGCATTTTTTAAAAAGTCTGTTATACAATATATACATTAATTAGGTTTTAGGCTGCAATCCTATGCACATTGACTTAGGAGTAAACCCTAATGGACAGTGTTTGACTTCTTTCTGAGTAAACATGCAAAGGACTGCCCATAAGATAGCCCCACTGAACACAGCGGAACTTCTGAGTAAACATGGATGGGATAGCACTGTATGTTACTTCTCTGCAGTATTCTCTTCTTTTTGCTTCACTTCCGCAACCTCTGTTGTTATTCAAAACTATATGTAAATTCAATATGAACATTTATTTATGTGCATGATCCAACAATTTGTGCTTGAACCAGTAATAAACATAATGGCATTATTAGAATTATCTGTAATTTCAGTAGAGACATAGTCTTGCATTCTGTAATGATACAAATACATTTCTGCAGAGAGGAGATAATGACAATAAGTGCTGAATAAAATATAACATAATTTTATTTTAATTTTCCTGTGGTTGTTTATAATTCTGACCTAGAAATAGCCCCTACCAGAATAACATGGTAAACTGTACAAGGAGCATTATATTTTAGAAATTGCAAAATGTGTATTCGTAAACGTTGTGATAAAAATAAATATCAGACTGTCTATATACCCAAGACATGTTTAGAATGCAGCACATTTTTTTAACGAATGATCGTATCTATCAACTACATTTGCAAATGTAAAAAATATTTGCATTCATTTACCTATCTTAGTAAGAGTAGAAATGGATTATGGCTCCATGAAGCTTGATCTGAAAGAACATATCCTTAATTCATTTGCCCGTGTCATCTCATCTTAGATGCAAAACTTTAGATGTAACTAAAGTAATGGCATGGTAAACATCCTACATATGCATAGCAGAGGTGTAGAAAAACATATGCAGGAAGTGAACAATTTATAGCTGCCATTTAAGATCAGATATTGCTCATGAATAACCACAGCAAATTCATCACATAACTACAGATAATAACAAACAGTGTAAATGGTGTCAACATGCAGAATCAATAGATCACTTCATGGCAAGTTTCCCTGTACTGTCAAATACTGATTGCCTAGCAGCCAGGAAACATGGGAGAGAATAAGCTTGCAGAAATATCCACAACGAATTAGCTCAAGAATTCCAGAGTGGGTGCCGTGTTAGCCTCCTGCAATGAAACAACAAAATATGTTTTAACAATAAACCATCAACCTTTGGTTTTAACATGTTCTGTTATGGGCTTTCCACATTCATTCTAAAGGTCCAAAAATGCCAGGAAATTACAGCTATGAAAGGCTGCACCCTTAACAGAAGTGTTATTTCAGCAATATTGATGGGCTACAATCTCCTATGTTGTGATTAATAACAGCTTTACAACTACAATGGAGCTGAATCAGAGACTTCTCTGATTCAGTGGGACTGACTGTCATTGTGATGGACTGAAGTCCCAGATTTGTCTGTTCATTGGAACAGATACGTGGAGTCTAGGCAACTGAAGCTATTCTGCAACTGAAGCTACCATTGCATGTTGCAAGTACATGGAACCAGGAACCACTAGCATACATATAGAATGATACAGCTGGGAGAAGCCTTGAAGCTCAACTAGGCCAACTCCCTCTTAGTGCTGGATGGTAGTAGTAGTAGTAGTAGTAGTAGTAGTAATAATAATAATAATAATAATAATTTTTTATTATTAATACCCCACACATATGGCTGGATTTCCCCAGCCACTCTGGTGGCTTATAGCATATTAAAACAAACAAACAAAACAACAGACATAAAAAACTTCCCTAAACAGGACTGTCTTCAAATGTATTCTAAAAGTCAGATTTCCTTGACATCTGGTGGGAGGGTGTACCACCAGGTGGGTGCCACTGCCGAGAAGGCCCTCTACCTGGTTCTCTGTAACTTCACTTCTCGCAGTGAGGGAACCGCCAGAAGGCTTTCGGAGCTGGACCTCAGTGTCTGGGTTGGATGATGGGGGTGGAGACGCTCCTTCAGGTATACTGGGCCGAGGCTGTTTAGGGCTTTAAAGGTCAGCACCAACACTTGAATTGTGCTCAGAAACATTCTGGGAGCCAATGTAGGTCTTTCAGGACTGGTGTTATATGGTCTTGGTGGCTGCTCCCAGGCACCAGTCTAGCTGCCACATTCTAGATTAGTTGTAGTTTACAGGTCACCATCACATAGAGCACATAGGTGAAGTATTCTTCCTAATGCCTCCTATGCATCTCTCACACAGGCATTTGGTTACATGTGTAATCCAGAAACATCCTATAAGTCAGATTAATATTGCCCCGTAGTGTAGAATCTGCAGAAGAGATGAAGAAAAGAGAATAGTGCCTTACTTTAAGCACTTTATGATTTTGTGGTACAAGCTTTGGACCACGTAGGTTATGGAGCTGCATTGTAACTATGTGCAACCTTAGTCAAATGGAAACCATATGTAAGGTATAGGGTTAAGGCTTGGTAGTTCTCCATAATATTGCTGTGTGAGTGACCATTTTGTTGAAACTCTTGCCTTTTAAGTCATTAGATAAAGCAATGTACATAAGGGACTGTGAACAGACACACATCCTTATGAAAGTAGTAAATTTCTCTTCCTAAATTCTCAGTGGTCATACTGATCTTTACCATAACCACTTCCTCAAAGAATTTGGTGCAGTATATCAGCACACTGCTGTTTTCAAGGTAGAATCGTGTGGGGAAAGAAGTGAAAAGAGCATTAGAAAATGGGTCAGAAATGCTAGCAGTATAATGAGTAAAGCTAACACAATATTACCATGTCTGAATTCACCCATAGAAACCTTCTGGACCATACAACAACTTCATACGGAATGTGAACTTCCTTCCACTACTTAACTGTCTAGATTTTCAGTTACAACACTCATGGCCTACAATGCAAAGGGCAAGGAACGGCATGTCTTTCACTGTAAAGTCTCAATTCGATGATTATTTTTTATGCACTACAAAGGAGAGATCTTTCATCAGAAAATGGGATTGTGACATACACACAACACATATTTTTGGCTCTCCTTTGTGCAATGAAAATGGATCTAAATAGAAAGATAATTGGAAGACCGATTTTTAAAGAAATCAAATAGCTTACAGTTGACTTTAATATTTCTCAAGTTCCAAGATAAAAGGTAGTCTTTGTCTGACAGCAATCATTGTTTGGGCTGTCATCACCCAGGTCAGCAATTTCATCACTTTACAGATTTTTTTTTTTAAATGGAATACCCAACAAACTGCTAAAATTCATCAAAACTCTGAAAGAAAAGATGTATTTTTCCAAGTGACATTCTAAGGCTGCAACTCTATAGATTTTTGACTTACTTACAAGCAGACATGCAAAGGATTGCATTGTTAGGCTGCAGCACTGTACCTAACAGTAAGCCTATTGAACTAAATAGACCTACCCCTAAGTACACATTTACAGGATCGTGGTACTAGTCTCCTGTTTCTATATATTATAGTAAATGACAAGAAATCGAACCACAGCTAGCTAGACCACTGAACTGTCCTCACACTCCTGGGATAAAACCGTAAAATGAAGTAAATCATTAAAATTATGGGATATGCTGTTCATATATTTATGTTCTGTGACATTTTTATTTATTTATTTAACCTTTTCACACTCAGTGCAGGTATATTTGATATCAAGGTGAGACCTAAAAAGTTCATTAGATGGGTGACACCACCAAACATTAGACCAAATACATAACCATTTTTTCCCAGCACCATTACAAAATGCCTTTCAGATTGCACTAGCACCATTGCAACCACCCACTGAACTCACTGCACCAGTCCCACTCCCAGTCACATACACCTTGCTGGATGTATTTATTATTCCCACCCCGTCAAAAGAAGCACAAAAGCCTTCTGCTTTATTTTAATGCCAGCATTGTTTACAATAGTGTTAGTGTCCCTGTTTGCTTTGGAAGATGTTAATACTGTATTTAAATCACACAAATTATGAATTTATGCAAGCATGAAATATCTAAGTTGTCATGACTATAATAAGGGGATCATCCATTTATATCACAAAGCATTTTCAAACTACTAGGAGCACTTAGTTGATATTGCAGACGCTAAAAGGAGAATGACCTGATGGGTCACAAATTGTATTCTATTAACAGCAAAGGATATATTTCAAGACTTAATAATACTCTACTTCTATTAGCCACTGCAAAAAATAATTCTCACAAAGCCAGATGCCACATATTAGCCTCTCTCTTTTTATTTTCCACATGGAATTTTAACTTTGGAAAGATACTCCATAAACCATTATTTTAATTCTATGCAAAATACAATACAATGCATTTACATTTTATTGTATAATAGCATGTATTGTCCCAAATCTTTTTTTTTTTCTTTTTTTTGCTATCTGGATGCATCCTTTTGTCTTTTATCTGTCCATCAGAACGGCACTCCCTCCAGCCCAGCAAACAGCTGTGTTTTTGATGAGTAGGGTAGCACCAAGAAGCAAAATTGAGTAGTGGGAATAATCTCTCTCTCTCTCTCTCTCTCTCTCTCTCTCTCTCTCTCAGACACACACACACACACAGAGAGAGAGAGAGAGAGAGAGAGAAGAGAGAGAGAGGGAGAGAGAGATTATTCCCACTACTCAATTTTGCTTCCTGGTGCTACCCTACTCATCAAAAACAGAGAGAGAGAGAACAGAGAATGGCTTGTAAGAGCCTTATGCAGCCAGTGGACCAGAGGTTGCTCAAATGTACATCAGGTTGCAAATGGTATCAAGTTTATGCACACTGCAGTTATGTGGAGAACAAGGATGGACAGATCTGTCCAACTTGAGCCTCTCAGTTTCTCATTTTCTCATTTTCTCAGTTTCTCTCTAGCCCAATGGTTGCCATTAATTTGATTTGAATTAATTTTATAATGAAATGATTTTAGAATGTTGTATTATTTTATTGTTGTAAGCCGCCCTGAGCCCAGCTTCGGCTGCGGAGGGTGGGATATAAATAAAATTTATTATTATTATTGTTGTTGTTGTTGTTGTTGTTGTTGTTGTTATTTTCTCATCTTAAATTCAGTTCTGCAGAAATTTGCTTTTTAAAAAAGAAGGGAGAAATTCTCATGCAACTTCACCAGCATTTTACTGATAATTTCTCCTAATACATTTTTATATATGATTTTGAAACTGGGCAAAAACAATTTGTAATGCATTTCTGTCATTTTCACTAAGATATGCATTTTGTAAACATTACTTGGCTAGAGAACTGCATTGCAAAATTCATTGGTCCATTGTGGTGCAAGGGGAGCACCTGGCGGGAGGCTACTGAATGGAGGAGGAGTGCCTATCTTCAGGAAAGAGGGTTGGCATTTTAAGACTCTAAAGTTAGCCACAAGAGGGGCAGAAGCTTACAATGGTTCAGTCTAATCTCAGCCTTTGCTGAAGCAAGCTGCTTACTAGGAGCTATGTGGACCTTGCTGCTTTCTCCATGGGATCTGGCATCAGATCTGAACATGAGTCAAGGCCACAATCTCCCACTGATCTGAGTGTATTTGTGTAAGCAATAATACCTGAAGAGGCACCCTGCTAGCTTTTGGTGAGTGGTATTTCTTGACCACAGGACAAAAGCTTTCCAAAAGCCTTTGACTTGGAGTCAAGTTTTGTATGTGTGCCATTGTTTATGGTTTTGCAAAATGCTTTCCAAAGCATTCTTGAAGGGAACTGTAAAAATAAATTTTAAAATGTCACCATTCTCTAAGCAGCCTGGCTAAATCACAGCATTCTAGAATCCCAGGGATGCACCTTAAATAATGTCACACCATTCTTTATTGCTGCATGGCTGGTACATAACATTAACATTTTATGATCCTAAGTACTTTTAATTAAACCGAAGCTGTTAGTTAGAATGGAGATTACAGCATGCCATACTTTACTCTGACATAATTACTTATCTTTTAATTAATAATTCTTTTATTTGTTACAAGTGCAATTGCCTTTAATATTCCACTTACAGTCTTGTATGTATGAGCATTTTTTTTATATAAAAAATCCACCCCGGAATAATGCTGCCTAGTAAGTGAATTCCATTTATTCACAAGGCAAAAGAGTTCAGAGACATATATTTTGTCTGAAAGAGTCACCGAAATAATGAGCCTCTGAACTGTATTGCGAGCAGAATTAAGGGGGGAAGCTAACTTTAATTAATATGTGCATGGAGAAGAGCTAATACATGAATGGAAAAGTTACAGAGACTGGAGGACTTGGGCATGGCATAAGCTTCTGAAGCAATGTTTGGGATTTACCTGCACTAGAATTAGACACCAAAGAGCACAGGGATTCCTTCCTAGTAAAATAAAGTAAGGTTAAGAATCCCACCAACAGAGATGTACTGTAATCCAAGGACTGTTTTAAACTCTGCAGCTGAAGTTCTGTTACCTTGAAATGCCACACATAACTATGATAGACATAGCTCAAACATACAACAAAATGAAGATGGTTGGCAGTGTCATGGGTCAGCAACGCTGGGTATCTGCTGAGGCCCACATCCAAGTAGGGGAATTCTGCCAGTTCTTGAGCTCTCCTGCTCCACTCCATTGCTTATACATGCCTTCTTTGAATGAGGGAGCAGTGAAAGGAGGATGGAGAACAGTAACAGCGGTGAGGAAGAGATAAACCCACACAGGGAGCATTTTGACCAAGGGTACCACAAAACCTGAGAACCGTCATGGTGTTTATGTGCAGAATAATCCATAACATATGCACTTACATGTGCAATATATAAAGCTGGTTTATAATTCAGTTGTGCAGACCAGGGCCACCACAACCCCACTTCACATAAGTAGCTGGCTTTCTATGCTACTAGGGGTGATTTTCTTAGGGTTATGGCTACAGAGATGAATGCTAAACTATGGACGGATGTTGTTCTGATGAAAATCAAAGGTGTCCATACATGATGTTAAACTGAAAAATCTTCTGATGTGGTTGCCAACTAGGCATTAGGATTAACATCTAGTATGGCCCACAGCATTCCAGCTGCTAGAAAACTGGAAGAGAGGAAGAAGAGATAGAAGGGCAGAAGAACCAATTTCTCTGCTGCTGCCACTGACAAATCCCTGTTACATAGAAGCCACTTGGTGAGAGGGGTCCTGGAGTTCATGGTCAATGAGATATAGGGCTGGATATACTAGTGAATTTAGAAACTGAGCAAAAATGACTATATTTCTACTATTCTCAGAATCAGTCATCGCAAAAATTCCTGGGGAAGTTTGGTCATTGCTAAAGAACAAGTTTCAAAGTCTGGTTCTTGGATAAATTCAATTGTAAATTACAAAAAAGAGCATTATGTCAGACCATTTGTACAGACTACTTTCTTACATCTCATAAAACACAGTGATAAGGGTTCTTGATGAGTGACCAAAGTTAAAATGCAGGAGCATTTCAAATGGTACCTTTATTGTCCTGTGTGATGGGACTGTGTTCACCATGTATAGCAGATGTGTGGGTGTTTTAAATGTCTACCACCTACTGCTGCCGTTGCTACAACACATAAACAAACAAACAGAAAGTGTGTGTGTGTGTGAGAGAGAGAGAGAGAGAGAGAGAGAGAGAGAAAGAGAAAGAAAGAAAGAAAGAAAGAAAGAAAGAAAGAAAGAAAGAAAGAAAGAAAGAAGTGCTATTAACACAAATGGAATACAAATGGATCTTAAGCACTTCTGGATGAAAAGCAACTTATGAAAACATGTTGACTTTGCTTCAGTTAAACTTGTAATATCTGTGACACTAACAACAATGAAGCTTGAGCTCCAAATGAAATTTGCAGACTACTGAAAAATGTACTGCAATTTCTCTTGTCACGAAAGAATATAATACACAAATAATGTTCCATAAAGAAGGGAGCCAGTAATTTCACAAATAGAACATGATGAATTTCTGTGAAACAAGATCAGAATTTATAGGCAGCTAAAATGAAAAGTTTTCAGTTTAACATTCATTTCTGCTACAATTTTCATAAGAAATCTTTCAAAAGTATATGGTTTATGGATGCATGTGAACGCAATCTTGGGCATATGAGCTATGTCATATAAATACTAAGTGAAAGTGTAATTAGAAATATAGAACACCTTAATACTTTCTGAATTGAGTCTCAAACCTACAGAAGACAAGGAATAGATTATATTTCACCTATGGGGTATGCTTAAAAACCACGATGCATGGATCCATTGTAGAAATCACTTCTTATACAGTCCAATCCTCCACATATAAAGTTAAATGGGTTACAGTCCCTATACTATGCTGAGTTTAAGGTTTGGTTCACAATGGGATGGTTTCCCCCCTCCCCCCAATGAAATCTTATACTACTCAGAAGTAAGTTCCACTGAGTTCAATGGGATTTATTCCCAGATATATGTATAGAATTGCAGGCCTTTGCAGAGTTTGCACAATTTCTTCCTCTTTATATTCCATTTGCACCTTATTCTAGGATACACCACATGGATAGCTCATTTGGTTAGAGTGTGGCGCTGGTAATGCCACGGTTGCAGGTTTGATCCCAGTATGGGGCAGCTGCAGATTCCTGCATTGCAGGAGGGTTGGACTAGATGGAAGGCACATTTGTTTCAACAAGCTTTCCCAGTGTGAGTGGGGATTAGGTCTCTGCCTTGGGTGTTTATCTATATAAACTTACATTTTGCCCTATATAAACTTACATTTTGCCGTTTTTATTGTATAATTGCAAATCTCATTGCAATTTATATGGAAAGCGATTCATTCATTATATTATTAATGTACTAAAAAATTAATTTTAAATAACACAAGATAGAATAAAGAAAAGAATGGAGCAATAGGTATGCAATTTTGCAGCCAGTTCTATGCCGCTGTCCATAGCATTTGACAAAATGATAGTATATGAACACCAAGGGAACACATTGACCCCTCTAGAAGAGGAGTAGAGGTGCAGTGGTAGCCATTGGGAGCTGTTGGCTCCCCTATATAAGAGCTGGAGTAGCAATTCTTTCCACAGCAGAATATTGCTCTTCAACAGTGCTGTAGTAACATATTTATTTATTTATTTATTTAAATGTACATTGAAAGGTAAGCAAGAGCAGACATGTACCCACTTCCAGGGCAGAAGCCACCTCTTTTGATATGGCTGCAGCAGCTCAAGCCAAAAAATACAGCCACTCCATTGGGCTGTTGTAAGAAATAAAATGATGCCTATTCAAAAGGATGCCTATTTAAAAGTCAAGACAAAGTGAAACCTTTTTTTTGTTTTTTGTTTTTTGTTACATACTTCATTTGCCTTTTCTCCCTGGTCCTGTTATGTCTTCACATGAGTTATTGTTCGGCTAGATAGCAAAGCCATTATACAAAATATGCAAAATCTCAAGATGAATATTTTGAATAAAAGGAACTCGAAGCTATTACGGGGAATAAGATTATGGCAATACAGCCTTGAGAGCACACTAGAGGTGCCCTGGGTGAACGAAATAAAAGGGAAATAAATAAAAATAACTTCTAAGCATCACCGTTTCTTTTGCCTGACGTACTGAACATTGCGCTCTCTGGATACTCAACAGTCACCAATCATTTACAGGAACGGAACCGCTCTGGAAAGGATAATGCTATAAAGTTCATGACCCACTTCCCGAACTAACTTCAATGATACTAAT